GCGCCAACGCACGTTGGGCACGTCGGCAGCGCCTCGCACCAGACCCTACAGTGCACGCGCTTTGCTTCCGTATAGCATCGCTGAGCTCAGCGTGTCCAGTCAAGTCGGAAGGGAGACGAGCACCTCACGTTCAATGCAGACCAATCCCGTCTTAATGAACACAAGCATTCGTTGAACACACTTCAGAATTTGCAAAGTGTCCTGCATTTTAGGGTCGAAGCTTCTAAAGCCGCGGGTCTGTCCCTCCTAGCTCGTCATAGTACGTGACTGCATAGTTAGATGACTCACTGAGCAGGTGTGGACGGGCGGATGGACGGACACACAGACAGATTGACAGACGGACGGACTATCTATCCATGGTTTGTCGAGAAAACCCTTCGAAGCTTTACCCCATTCATCATCATTCGCTTCATGGATATGGCTAAGGATATTCAAACAATGTTAAGGAAAGTACAGAGAATATTAGTAGAAGTAATTGTGATGTATATGTGAAGAAAAAAAGTGACCGAAAGGATTACTTGTCGTAAGATAGGACTGAACCTGTGACTTTCGAATAACGCGTCCGATACTCTACCAACTGAGCTACCTCAGCAGCTATTCTCCCGAGCACTTTATGGGCTATATATGCGCATTAAAAAGGTCCCGTAACGCTTTTTTATTATGCAGGGTCAGAAAACGATGCCAATTGGTATAGCCGAGGCTCTCGAGAACACGTGAACCTAATAATGCAGCGCAGCACGCGGCCTGGAATTAACAATGTATTCTCAAAGTCATCTATGAATTGCGTTCGCTTCTCTCGAAAATTGACGAGGCAAGGTTAAAATTCCTTGTCACAGCCATTGTATCCACGCTTGGCTGATTTGAGGATGTCGCACTCGGTCGTCACAAGGGCCAGCGCGGCGGCCCGCTAATTGTCGACGCGCGCGCGCGCTATTATGCTGAAAAGGCGCATTCGAAGAAGAAAAAAAAAATGAGAAAAAGTTCTCAAGATTACGAGGCGCACGTGACGTGTTTTCTTTCCCCGTGCCGTGCCTTTCTGTTTATCTTCCGACGTTTTCGTGGACACGGAAGTAAAAAGAATGCAACTGTAACGTGCGACAAATCATTGTAACTCCACTTGTAGTGGACGGATTCCAAAGGATTGCGGTAGCGAATTTGTGACGCAATTAGCTACTTTAGAGAATTCAATTCACGGCGACTTAAAAAAGTGTTGCAGGACCCCTTTAAACGTGGGAGCGTCACTAACTACCGCCAGTAGCCACGAAAGCGATTGCGAAACATATCTTTTCTCTGTGTTCGCGTCAGAAGTATGTGATACCATTACGAGCTGGCAGCTGACCTGTAATTCCTCGTATACTACCTGATCGCATTAAGTCTGCCAGAAAGAGACCTTCGATATGTACGAAGGAAAGATTTGTACATCTAAGGGCTCATTTTCTGGGATAAACACAATAATAATGAGATATACAACATACACTTATGTCAAGAAAAGTATAGACGATGTCATTAGAAGTAAATGGAATATATATGTGAAGACAGAAATTTGGATGAAAGGAAACTTGCAATGTTCAGGTACCAAACCTGCCCATCGCATAACGCATGAGGCGTCCCACAGAAGCGTTGGATTAGCACACAGTAGCTGTGTTTGCACAACGGCACAGTGATATATCACCGCAAGAAATTGTTCCAGGCAATGGCTTCCTCATTTACAAGTAAGGTCGACATATGCAAATGAGCTCTGCACATGAACAGATGACGAATTGTATTTAGCAAAAAATAGCCAGTATTTGAAAAAATGAGCGTTTTTGCACAGGGTTGTCGCTATTGATGTCCCACAAAAGGTGTACTAATAGTTTTTTTTTTGTCTCTATGGTGGTTGAAGATAGCACGTAGAACTGATTATTATAATATAAATATGCTTTTACGTATGCCAAGTTCTCGCTCTTGATTTCAAAGAAAAAATGGCAATTTATAAAAAAACAATAATATGCTAAGTTACGATAGATATTGCTTTTGTTTAGCTTCGCTTCAACTAAGATCTTTTCACCGACAGCTGCTTTTCTAAAATAAATCTGCTAAGTTTTTCTAGACAGTCTTACATGAGATTATGAAAACAATCTACTCTTATTCGAACTTTCTTTGTCATCTCTCGGATCCCCCTTTTAATGCCCGCATGTCAGACAAGAACTACAGCCTACCATGCTTCGAAAATCAAACTATTCCATACACGTACTAACGTTTTCAAAAAGCATTCTTTTTACACGCAAAATTAAAAACTCCAATCAGTCATCACCCGGAATTCTTTTACTAGCCATTTCTCAATTTGAGACGCTATTATCGATCTATGCTTCCTTTACAGTTGTCTATTCCTTTGTTCTTGCCTCAACACACCACAGTTATTTTTACTTACATACACACCAACCAATGTCATAGCTATAACGAGCCCTGTATGTAGAAAAATGTAGACCTAATGAACTAATGTGGTTGCTTGGTCGAGTTGGTACGATTTTATTCACATAAAAACAGCGCCAAAAACGAGGGACAAGAAAACAAATGGAAAGGCTGGGCCATCTATGTATCAGCAGGCCCTCGATTGCTCTATCACAAAATAAATAGATTTTTTTCAGAATGTTGGCACACGTGGTGATCATGGCTTGTTATCACGATGATTACTCGGTTTTTAGGTGAATTCTGTTTTCTTTGGTTTGTCATTCCTCTTATTCGTCAGATACTACTCAAGTATATATTGCGAGGTTCCAGCAAACAACTTTTGTTGTAAGTCAGTGCCACTGTCTCTATCCTTCTTTTCTTGTCCCTCGTTTTTGGCGCTGTTTTTATGTGAGCAGACATAATGCCCGAACGGAATTTAAAACGTTGATTAATGTTCGCAGATGAAAAAATTCTCTCCAATAAGTAAATATTCCAAATTTACAGAAAATTTTGAGATCATTATGGATATCTATTATCATGGATAAGATAATGAATCCAATTGAAGGTTGATCTTGCATAGATACTGTAAGTCTGTAAAGGATATTTTTATCAGCCAGTGGCCCTGTAAAGTAGGTCTAATAACGTTGGCCATATCGAAAATCAATGCGAATACTGCAGCATGCGAGTGAAGTCGACGAAAACTCAATATCTGCCGGGGTCAACCAGTAATACATATATTTTCTCAAAATATCCTTCAGATAAATCTCTGTCTAAACAGGCGTTTTAAGCCGTTAAATATAATACCTTATTTATATCTTATCGAGGGTTATTCTCAGTTACTTGGATATCATGAAATGTTATTTGTAGTCTGACTCATTAATTGGAATGGTCCTTCATATTCTCAAAAACTAGAAAGGGGCGTGGTGAACCACAAGAACGTGGTCATGGTGCACTTAAATGGAACCACGCAATGTGGTGCGCGCCTAGAACATGTGTTTATAGACAGTCTGCGCACGCCGCTTCTGATAGATGCTTTTTTTTTTCTCACACGCTGTATGCACATTTTGTTTATGCATCTAAATCTGCGAATGCGCCGAGCAAATCCAGCACAATGCATCTGATCTCGTTTACACACTCCTTTTCGTCAGCTAGAGAAAACACTGTTGCATGCTTCTTTTACACATAAAAACAAATGTGGTCTCCCACAAAAGCGTTGGCTCAGCACATCACGCTGCTCTGCCAGGAGGACGCTCAGAAGTACCGATTCGAAAGTAACGATTCAGCATGCGTTGAATATAAGTTCATCACGGTGCCTATGGCTATAGGCTATATTCTGTGCTGGATGGACATGAAAGGCGGCTGTACCATAGTGCCAGAAAATGCTGATGCCGTGCTCGTTTTAAGTGAAGAAGGCAATGTGAGAGACGCAAAGCAGCTTCACACTGCGTAGGTTCTGGCTGCCGTAAACGAGGAAAGCGTGAATATTTGACAAAAGCAACCTTAATTTCAATGTCAGTGTGGCAGCGTAGCTGCATCGTTATCACAGAAAAACGTACCTGGAACAAACGTCGGGCATAGATGCTTTATGAGTGCCAGTTGAATTTTTGAACATTTTGTTCTCAAATACGAGTACAGAATGTTCAAAATTTGGCAACTAGACATGAATTTCAAAGATGGCAGCACTTTTTGGCATTTTAAGTGTTACATAATGAGTACGCAATGCTTTACTTTAGCTGCAATCTCACATATTTCTTGACTTTCAGCATTCTGTGTCTTTGTGGATTCTAGAAATAGTAATATTATCTTGCAATATATGCCACGGAAAGCAGAGGTGTGAACACAGGAGGTAGGCAGAAGGCTTGGGGTTTGCATTTCTTCTTATGGCAAGAGAAAGGGGGGGGGGGGGGAATGTCGGACGAAGTTTACCCCGTCCTTTTACTCAGACCTAACTCATCGTTTTTCAGAGACCAGGATAATCACACAGTGTAAGCATTTTGTGATAATGGTGGCCGAAAGCCCTTAATGTTGCAATAAAAAAACTATTTACTTACCATCTTTACTCCCGGAAAGCCAACTACTAATGGTAGGCCAGTGTGGGAGCACGTCATCGCTTTATTTTTATTTATTTCATGAACTGTGAAGCATGTTGGCGTTTGGACACAACTAATGGGCAATGGTGAAAAGGTGTGCCCTATCTCCTTCCCCCCCTACCCCTCTCTTCTCTAATTGGTAGCACTGCACACGGCTGTGAAAACTGTCGGGAATCCTGATTATCCGTTAGAAGTTCCTAATACAACAACTTTGATAAACGTTGCAAGCATTCATAGGAAGTTCGCCACTTCTTATATTGCCAAACTATACATAGCGCTGGCGTAGTGCGTACGAAATGCGTTCTTAAAAAAATATCACTTAAGCATGCCCTGTCGCACATAAAAGCACAAGTTTCACTTCATGCATTCCATTGTATACAGAAGTGACTTAAAAATTGTACACGCAGCACTGCAATACTGTTTCGCACCTTTGAATAAACAAGCTCATACAGCAGCAGCTGCGCTTGAACTAACATTACATTTACAAACAAGTGGGAAGTGCTGTTTTATTCATCACAAAAAATACACAATAGTAAAAACTGGAAAGTCAGGAAGCAGTACCACCACATGAAAAGTGAAATTTCAAAAATTTCAAAAATTGCCAACATCCCTCAAATGAAATGCTATCATACGAAACAAAAGGAACAATAGGAATGAAATATGGGAGCACATGCACTACCGTATGTGATATTACCGCAAGCTGAAGTTTCATTGTGACACCACTGAGTAGAGGAAGCGCTAGCCTCTCTTGAGGTCCTGCAACAGCATGTAGCGTCATTTGTTTCTGCTTCACGAACTAACAACCGCATCGTATTCTTCATTAGATTCTTCACGTACCAGCTTTGTAGATAATACGCGATGTGGTTAGTGGCACAAGATTCTTCAATATTTGTGTTTATACGCTGAAAGTGACTATACCGTAATGTCTAGCAACATGTCGAAGAGTTGTCCAAAACGCATTAAAAGTCACTTCATTGCAAAAAAGATCGCCTTTTCTTCAGTGTCTTGCACAGGACTTCAATAAATACCACCGGCAGTATAACCCACTAAGAAAGTACTTTTGTGTGAGAGCAAAAAGAAAAATATGCCAACAGACTGGTTCGAATTACCGCTCTTTTAACTTTAACTTTTGAGAGCAAATAACATCGACATGATACTTGCAAAACAGCAAAAAAACGAGGTTGACTGCAAAGCGGTTCTGTAACTTAGATGGGCCTTTCAAAATGGTTTAGAAAGTTGAACACAAAACCTTTTACTCTTTGAGGTAAACTACTGCGCTTCGCTAGCACAGTCTTTTGGATGAATGTAAGCTAAGTAGGACAGCAAGCGATACCCTACCCAAACACTGCGATTATTTGGCACACAATCAGAAGTTTACGCAAGTTGTTGCGACTTGAATGTTATAATCCCGAATGTCCAGCAAGACACATTGGGGTTCGCAGTACGGCTCACCAAATTATCGTTTAATATAGAAATGACACCCGTTTCTATACTGAATGCACATTATGTGCCATAAAAAAGGGTAAAAACCCAAGGCTTTACAACTCTTGTGGAACTGGGCTTAACACATTTCTTCTAGTACTGCACCATCTTTAACTGTTTTTCAATGAAATATACTGCGCACCACATTAACGTTATGCTATAATAAGGAGACATCATTACCCCAAAATACCAAGAGGACAAAATGCACCACGTTGTTGCTTGAATAAAGAAACCATGCGAGTAAAGAATCACTTCCTATCCGTGAACCCAAAACTGGTTGTCTGGCCAAACGTAGACGTCCTTCCAAACACGTTGGCTGCTGTGGGGTTTACTCCAGCACCTGCCGCTCCCAGTACACCAGCGGCCGCCTGTTCGACAGCTTTTTGGATGTTGACGAGCCCCGGATTGAAGAGACTCGCTCCAAATGGCAGTGGCCCAACGCCGGGAACGTGAAATCCCGAGTTCGAAGGAGCGAATGGGTTGCTCGGTAGGGACGGCAAACCGAAAGATCCTGCTCCTTGCTGCGGGTGTTGTTGGTGGACGACTCCTCTTCGCGCCTGGTCTAATTCCTGTTGTGGTGGTTGCTGATTGAAGCCTCCTAGGTGGCCACCGAATCTATTCATCGAAGCACTTCCCACAATCAGGTCACCACCCTGTCGCGGCACGTTGCTCGGGTCGGACACTATGGACGGCCGATTCACGTCACCTTCGCGCTGTGTAAATGTGTTGGTTGGGGGATGGCCGGTAATAATTCCTCCGCCACCCTGTGAGCCGGCGTAGCTGGTTGGCCTTGATGAGAGAGATGGTTGCTGCTCGATACTTGGTGTGTACGTGTTTGGTGTCGCCGGAGTGTTTGGGATGTAGCGAGGTGAATCATCGTCTGTGTAAGCTGAGGTGACAGGAGCAGGGTACGAGCTGTAGCCCGGAGACACTCCCTGGTGGTTCCAAGGCACTTCTCGGTTCTGGTTGACCAAGCCACCCCGATGCTCACTGTCAAAACCGTTCGTCTCGCGTGGTCTATCCGCACCTGCATGTCAAGTGACAAAAAAATAAAGTACACGAACTTCTCTTTATAAAATTCACTTCGTCTGATTTTTTTTCCTACATTTACACATTCATGAGCATAGTGACCGTGAAGTTAAGAAGAAAAGAGTAAAAATTACCAGATTCCACGTACAGTGCGAATCATTGGTATGCAAAGCATGAATGAGGAAGGTTGGTATGTCTCTTTAAAACCAGCATAACCTTATGAGGCAGACGTAAATCATGCCATGCAGCACTTCCATGTCAAGAATTTTATGTTTGTGCCTAGAATTTGTGTTCGTCGTCCATTCACGTCACGTAATATTGGATTTTGTATACGTGATCCTAGCGAAACGGCCGCGAGCATGCTATGAGAATATCATGAAGTCATGATTTACATGATGGGCATGCCATGATTATCATGCTTGGACATTTCATCTACTTTCATCGTCTCTTCACGTCACGTATTCCCAAATTTGGTATATGTGAAGCTACTGGAACGGCCGAGAGCACGCTATGAGCATAGCATGTAGTCATGTTTACATCACACGCATGTAATGGTTATCATGCCTGGACGTGTAATTTTCTTCATCGTCTATTTACGTAACGTGATACATTTCATATATTCTCAGCTAGCTAAATTACGCGAGTACGCTATGGATGTAGCATGTAGTCATGTTTTACATGACAGGCACGTCATGATTATTGTGCTTGGACATGTAATTTCCTTTTGTCGTCTATTCATGTCAAGTAATACCAAATTTGGTATATGTCAAGCTAGCGAAACGGCAGTAACGATGCTATGAGCGTAGCATGTAGTCATGTTTTACATGAAACCCATGTCATCGTTATCATTATTGAACGTGTCATTTACATTCGTCGTCTCTTCACGTCACGTGACGCCAAGTTTGGTATATGTGGAGCTAGCAAAAGGGCCGTGAGCACGCTATGAGCGTACCATGTAGTCATGCTCTACATGACACGCATGCCACGATTATCGTGTTTGGACGTGCCATTAACCTTCTTCGTGCAATCAAGTCAGTATCACCAAATTTGGTATACGTGAAATTAGCGAAATGGCCGTGTGCGCACTAAGAGAGTAGCTTGTCATCTTTAACATGCCAGTCACGTCATGATTATCATGTTTGTAGAAGTCATTTACCTTCGTAGGTCGTTCGCTTCCCGTAATACCAAATTTGGTATATGGGAAGCTGGCGAAACGGCCCTGAGCGCATCATGAGGGTGACATGTAGTCATGTTCTGACATGACACGCATCTGATGATTATCATATTTGCGCCAGTCATATACCTTCGTCATTCATTCACGTCTTGTAATACCAACTTCTGTATTTGTGAAGCTAGCAAAACGACCGCGAGCGCACCACGAGCATGGTATGTAGTTATGACTTACATGACATCATGTCATAATTTGTATGTTTGGGTCTGTCATTTGTGTTCGCCATGCAGTTATGTCATACCATACCACATTTTCAAAATGTCATGCGAACGAAACCACCGCAGTGCAGTAAAATTGTGAAATGTAAATAATGACATTCATGACATACATGTCATGATGTTCATGTTACGACTAGTCAGTTGTGCTTGTCATACAGTCATGTCTTCACATACCTATTTTGGTATAATACCATTATTGAAAAGGCCAGAAGAGCTAAATGTGATAGGCAAACAGACAGACAGACAGACAGACAGACAGACAGACAGACAGACGAAGGGACGGTCGGACGGACGGATATGGTCAAAGTCACTGATGTTCGCTAAGAAATGCTTAGCATTTTAAAGAGAGAACTGTGAACACTTCGTGGTAATTTATAGTGATGACTGTGAGGTGATTTCATATTTGCAATTAAAAAGATGTTCTTACGACATCATTGATTTATTTTCACCCCATTGCCATGCATCCCTTGTCTAGCGAAAGTAGGCATGTTCGAAAACTTTGCGCTTGCGTTTTTTCACGTTCAACGTGTCCTTGGTCTTTTTGGGCCGTTGGCAGTGAACCATGATGAAAGGGAAGCTGGCCCTTTCATGAGCGATTACTTCGAACTGAAATTTATGAAATTTTGTAACGTCCATGAATGGGGTTTATTTAGATACGACGCAGGGGTAGCTTCAACAGCCTTGAGTTTAAACCAAGACTGTCGCGATCGCAAGGCACGTCTTCGTCCTCTTCACCTCTCTTGACGCCAGACCCATTACACACACGGGCACATATTAAAACTACAATTGCAACATCTCTTCGCCCGCAGACGAAGCCCACCAGCCGAGTCAGTGAGTCTCTTTAGAATTGAATGGCTTTAAACGGGCAATATGTCTAAATTCAGTCTTTGCAGAATGGCGGCCATTGGCGGGAAGCCAAACAACGCGGTATTTCACGTCGCTTAGGTGGTCGATAATGACATATGGACCAACATAGGACACCAGCAGTTTTTCACAGAATTCTCGTTTCCTCCCTAGAGTGCAAAGCCACGCCAAGTTGGCGTGTTCATATGTGACGTAGTGGCGTCGTTCGTCGAACCACATCTACGAGCATTCTCGCGAAACAAGATGGCGCTAATTAGCGAGCCATTGGGCCTTTTCCGCACGACAGATAGTTTCAGAAATGCAGGGATCATTGTGTTTTAGAAACAGAAAAATTGTGTTGAGTGTATAGCGTGGCGGTCTACCTTAAAAAAGAAAGAAGGGACTGTAGCTAGTATTCTCTCATGCTGTGCGGTGTTGGAAGCATAAGTAAAGAAAGGCAGAACATTGTCTCAATTGTTGTGATCCGACGACACATACATCGACAGCATGTTCGTGAGAGTTCTGTTTGTACGTTTGATGAGACCATTAGTTTCTGGTGATAGGGCGTAGAGTGTCGAAAACTTGAAGCACATAGACGAAAAAATTTCTTCGATGAAATCTGCCACGAGTGGACGTCCATGGTCACTAATAATTACTTTTGTTGTTACAATGTCTAAAAATCTCTGAGCGTAGCACAAAAAGGAACACGTCACGTGCAGTAGCCGATGGTATAGCAAACGCCTCGCAGTATCAGTTCAGATGATCGGCACATACGATGATCCAACTATTTTCTTTGGAAGACCATGAAAAAGAACCAAGAAGGTCAATTTCAACTTGCTCAAATACACTTCTTAGAGGCGGCACAGGATGTAGCTTTACAGGAGGAGTACTTGTAGGATGCTTTCGACGTTGACATTCGTTGCTGCTAGACAAGTATTGCTGCAGCACAGTTTGACGCATCTTGGGCCAGTAAAACTGCTCTTTAATGCGGTGGAGAGTTCTCGTCGCTCCTAAATGGCCGGATGTTGGATCATAGTGCATGGCTCTCAAAATGAAAAAAGCGGAAATTCGTCGGTGCTACCGGAAAATAGCGCGAACCTCAATTAGACTAATTTTTGTATAGTAGCCCATCGCACAAGCAAAAACGAGTGGCTGAGTAATCTCGGCCGCTAGAAAGTTGCTGTGGAGCACTGCCTTTTTGTTGCCCATTTGTAAATGCACTTTTGTCAGGATATCCTGGCTTTAATGATGCGATGTACCCATTAAAGTTGTCCGTGTCAGAGCCTGTCATGGGAAGTGGCAGCCGCGAAAGGCATTCTATATCAACGTGCCAGCGACCACTTTCATAAGCAACCCTAAAGTCGTACTCCTGTAGGCAAAGTGTCTAACGTGCGAATAGACCGGATGGGTCGCACAGATTGACTAGCCAGCACATAGAATGATGGTTCGTTCAGACAGTTAAGGGTATGACCGGAATCGTTTGTTCTGCGAAGACCACAGCAAGACACCTGCCCCGTAACGGTATAGACTGGCTCAGACTGGCTTAGGGAGCAACTCGCGTATGCCACGACATTTTGTTTGGTCTCAACGTGCTGAACCAAAACAGGACCAACACCAACGCCACTAGCGTCCAAGTGCACTTCTGTCGGAGGCATAGAGTTGAGGTGTCGGAGCATTGAATGCGACGTCGATCAAAACTTCACTACACTAAAAGTGGACGCCCATTCCCGGTTCCATTCAAACTGCATGTCTTTTTGAAGCGGACACGTCTAGTACAAACATAGTCCTAGAAAGCTCCACAGTGCTTTTACTGAGCGAACGAGGCTGCTTGAAGGCTTCCACTGCTAACGTCTTCGCTGAATTAAGTCGTAGTAGAATCAAGACTCTTTTTGTCCCTCATGTGCCCTAGAACAAGTGCCTGACATTCTCTGAAATGGTATTTTTTGTTACTTCAAACATCAACGATGCTTTCCTTTGACAATCTAGCATAAGGTTTAAACGTACGTACGTTGTGCTCACAGAACGTGTCTCCAGAGATCACTACATCATCCAAGTATCGCATGCAGATTTCCCATTTTAAAGCACACAAGTTGTTGTCCATGAAGCACTCGAAAATTGCCGGTGCAGTACACAACCAAAATGGCATCGCATTAGATTCTAAAAGTCCGTCTGGTGTTATGAATGGCGTTTTCTTCCTATTTTTTGTGCATCGGTATTTGTCAATATCCTGGTCTCACATCGACATACGAAAAGTAGGAAGCTGATGAAAGGCAATCGAAAGCATCATCGATCCGTGAAAGAGGATTGATATACGTCCTTGTCGGTGATAGCGTTGAGGCGATGGTAATCGATGCAAAATCTCCATGAGTCATCTTTCTTTTTAACCAAGATTATCCGAGCTGTCATTGACTGCCCGATTTCCAGATATGATTTCTCTTTAGCAAGTCACGAACTTGGTCGCTGATAAAGTTCGCTCCAAAGGTGACACACGGTTAGGTTTTGGTCGGATAGGCGGATTAGACCCCGCATCACTGAGGTTTTCTATACTAAAAGGAGGAAATGATGGTGGATCCTCCTTCTGGGCACTATTGAACACTTCTGTGGTGATGGTGGTGGTGAACTCTGTATTTTGAAATAAACTAGAGTTTCTATTCACCTGGGTGGCCGTCCCTAGTCGGGGACACTGTTGGAGATCGCATTTGCCTGGGCATGCGCCAACAAGGAGCGTTGCGCATCCAAGGTAGAGCAGCAGAGCAGGTACTCCTCCTAAGCCTCTCTAAATGTGATGAAGAAGGGGGATGAGAAAGAAAGTGGAGTGGCAGGACACGAAGCCGAAACGTGAAAGGTGTCGCCTAACACTTGACAAGTTGGACGCGTGCCATAGATTTCCGGTATGAAGTACCGGGTGACCGCAGGACTAAGGAAAGTGTTATTCTGAAGGTGGCGTAGAAGTTGTTCGTCCGCTTTCACCAGACCGCGTGCGGGGCCAGGGCAAAGTCGGCACGAACTGCGATAATCATCTAGAATATCACGGTAGCGTGTCATACAGGAGTTTCCAGGATCCGACTCAGGATATGGAAGGGCAGCGGCAGGGAGGGGAGAAGCGCGGGCAGCGGCATTTGCCGCTTTGTTGCCAGGAAGACCTGCATGGACTGAAGTTTTTCTTACGGAGTGAGGCATAAGACGGTAGAAATCAGCTTGAAGGAGAGGAGCAGCCAATGGGGTGATAAAACCCTGGATGTATTGAGAACAGGCTGAGCGCGTGTCTGTTAACATAACGCGAGCAGTGTGACGGGAGGTGGCCAAAGCGATGACAACCTCCTCTGCACGAGGTTCACTGTCGCATCTGAAGGACATGCAATCGACGTGGCGGCCCTCTGTGATCCCAGTGGCCATGTGATAACCTAAAGTGGAAGGGCCCCGAGACGTCTACATAAAATACCTCGAGGCTATCGGAGTGACACGCCTGAAGGGCCGCAGTACGCGCTTGCCTACGACCAGGGTGCTGTTCGGGGCCCATGTTACGGGGTAGTGACTCTACGTGTAACTTCTGGCAGCGCCAAAGTTTCGGCACTGGTGATAGAGGGGCCAGGTCAGAGATTGTGTGGAGACCAAGTCTGTTGAGCAGGTGGCGCCCGGAAGGCGTCTGCGACCGCGTTGGTTGGCGCGATAAATGTCCCGCAGCTCCGTGAAAGAGTTATGCATTCCCAGAGCCGCCAAACGGCTATTGGAACTTAGAAGTGTGGCTGTCAGCTTGGGCTAGTTGGTATGACATGACGATAGTTATAGCGCGAGAACCGAACGACGACAAACAGACAAGAAGGGCAAGAAGGACACGAAGCGCTCGTGTCCTTCTTGCCCTTCTTGTCTATTTGTCGTCGTTCTGTTCTCGCACTATAACTATCGTCAGGCTGTTCGAAGTAGTGATAGAAAGGTCCAGCGCGCGTTTCTACACGGATCATCGAAGAGTATTAAGTTGGTGTTCATGGTGACGACGCAGGTGAAGGTAGAGTGAGGCATAGAGGATCGCAAACGCTCGGGCCAACTGGAGGAAGTGGGTCCCTCGGAGGCCGACACATTTAGTAGATAACCGCTGCATCATACGCCTCACTTGTTCGCTGGTGCACTCGCTCGCTGGATTCTGTGCCAACCAGTTGTGCCCTCGCGATCTCCGACGTCAGCGTAGCTCTGGCCGTTGCGGTTCATCAATCACCACAACGTTCAAACCCTTTGGCAGTATCATGGGTTTTTCGGAACAGTTGATGGTTCAAAAGCTAATGTGCCCTTCAACAATTGGCAGCATACAATAAGGTATCAGAACATTATACTTCTTGCAACTAAGGTGTATCAGTTCTCTGATGGCGTCAAATGTTTTTTTTTCGGTGGCAGAGAAACATGTGACCAAGACACACTTTACTGACAATAGTGGGACAACTGTATCCATGGATACACTTCTGTAACAATGCTGGTGTTTCATAAACGCAGGCGAATCGCCCAAATCTACTTTAATTTCTCTTGTTCGACAACCAACGTTGGCAACGCAAAGATTTAGTAAATCTAGGCCCAGTATTACGTCATGCGTGGCATGAAATAAAACTGCGAACTCCGCGTCAATTAGATGACGCTCCAAGCTAACTTCAAAACTGCACACACCGACAGTATATAGGGTCTCACAACTCACTCCCCAAAGCTTATCGGTACGGTCCCCCACGAAGAAAACTTTTCGCCCAAAGAGGCGTTTGAGCGCAAAACTAGCTGTCACTGAAATAGTTGCTCCAGTGTCCACAAAATTATAATTGAAATGCTGTCTATACACAAACACACACACACACACACACACACACACACACACCTGATTGTTAAACATATAAATCAATGAAGGTATTTCTGTCGAAATCATAGGATGTCCAAGAACCTCATCTCCAACGGCCCGTGTGGACTAGTTTCCCGGAGAGGGAGATGAATAGATCCTTTCACTGTATACAAACACAGGGCCTTGATTACATCCGATTTCGTCCACCAATGTGCCTTAATAGCATTGGGAGGCAAGAAGAGGTTTAGAAAATAGCCTGCTGATTTTCTAGAATTGTGGTCTCTCATTTCACAAGATATATTCAAACAAATGTTTTTTGGGTGTACATAAAAAAATATGAGAGGTGACCTTGAACTTAACGCACGTTGCTTTTATATTGAAAAACTAAAGAGAGATTTTCCTTATCTTTCAAAGAAACTTGGAAACCCGCTTTTACTTCGACGTTAAGAGCTGGTAAAAGAGGTTACAGAAAGTTTTTTGGGGTACAACGCTTGCTACCTTGAAACCATCTATATCGGCGTCCAGGAGAAAGCAACCGGCTTACGCGAGGAGCATCTTATAGAAGATATCTCATTGCTAAGTAATAACATTTTGTTTGTTGATGCTGCTGTTGATGCTGATTCATAATTTTGTTTATATCACAGTATCTGTTTTCCGCGTTATGATAAAGACCATACACATGGGAAAGTTTTACGTTATATCGACTACTGTGATCTATTTTGTATGTTTCATGCAAGGTATCGATAGAACACCAAATGATGCGTCAGTAAAAAAACAACAATTTATGGCAACTCGCGGTGTCAAGCCTGAAGAAACAGCGCAGCTGGGTGGCTCCTTGTTTCTCTTTATCTTTTCTTTCTTTCACCTCTATTTTCCTCTCTCTCTCTTATTTGCAACTTTTATGTTTTTATACATTCTTCTCTCTCGATTTATCCACGGCTTCCTCTACCTTGCTTTTTCCATCTTTCTTTGTCCTTCTTCTCTTTCTCTCCTTAACCCTCTGCTTAATTCTCTCAATTTATTTGTTTCTCTTTATTTCTCTTTCTTTCTCTTTCTCTCATGCTCTATTTCGTCTATTTTTCATGTCTCTTTCTATACGTTATGGTTTTTGTTTCTGTCTTCTCTTGTTTTTATCTTCCCTCACCGTTTCTTTTTGTCTCTTTTTTTACGCCTTCTTTCTATCCCCCTTTCTCTCTGTGTGATGCTTTCTATTGTTTCTATCTCTCTTGTGCGTTTCTTTCTATCATTTTCTCCCTTTTTTTATATAATATTGTTTTTGTGTGCCACTCACACTTGCACTACGCGGTACTGAGGCTTGCCCGATTCCTGTGGTGCTTACCAACTCGAAGAGATTTCTGGTGACACCGCGCGAACTACTGCAAGCTATAGGAGCTTGGATGTTTGAAACAAAGGTTTAACAGCCCACTGCTTGCTACCACAGTGCATTTTTTTGTATTCTCTGAATCCAACTGCGTCACACATACCACCGAGCTCAACAACAGTGATGAAGTAAACGCGTTAGTGCCACAGGGGAATCATTTCCTACCCGAAAAAGAAGGCCTCCAACTGCTCGACTCTGGCCTGAGTCCTTCTTCACCTACGGTTGGTCTTCCAGTGGTTTTCCATGGCGGTCGCTTGGCCTCACCGCTTCCTGACGACGTTGAGGTCGAGTCGTTACGGCCCTTCGTTCCTGGCGACTTTGCTCCGGAGGTGCTGGAAGAGGTCTTGGACGCTGTACCGCCACCATGCGCCCGCTTTCGAAGCAGGAACACCGGCTTGCCACCCACAATGCGGCCCTCGATAAACTCGACTTCGTAGTCCTCGGTGGCTGTCTCCACCTCCGCATCAAGCTGCACCAACCTCGGCTCCCTCTGGTCCTGTCGTGGCGTCGCCGTGGCGGACGCCAATACCAGCGCTAGCAGCAAAGCTATGCAGAGGGGTACCTGCAAACGCCAGTCATTGATTCATTGATGCGATATACTCGGCATTCTTCTGTCATGTTCCTCACTGCGCTACAGGTGTCCCACGTCGTCAGCACTAACTTTTCGATACTGTGGCCGTTAAAACACCAATAATTTTTTTTCTACAGCATTACATTACCTTACCATTTTTGCCTGCAGAATACAACCTCGTTCTGCTTTCTACATAAGTGTTTTTTGTAAGCGTCATTATTTGAACTGTTAAAAGCATTCACGTATTGCTGGAAGCACTGAGTACAAAAGAGAATGCCTTATTTTACCTTTTTGTGATATACCCTTGGTCGTAGACTATTAGTATTGGTGATGATAACAGTATGTATGCGTCACTTCTCTTTGAAACACAGTAATAACACGAAGCACGAAGCATATTGTAATAATCACCAAATGCACAATCATTGTCATCGCTCTACACAAAAACTAAATAAACCTGTTCCGACAGTGTGCTTTTATTTAATGCACGTGTTTTTTTTCCTGCGTGCTCTCTAAACCACAAAATTATTAACTTTTACAACAAATCTATTCGGGCTAACATTGAAGAAAGGACCCGTCAAACAAAAAAAACAAACTCCTTGTTTGACACTTGTTTTTTTGCTTAAGTACTGGTAGCAAACACACGCTGTTCTTAACGCCTAAACGTACTATGTAACGGCCTGTATCACATGGTATCGCTTCGCGGCTACGCCCATTTTTCTGGTCAACACGATGCCACCGGTTCGACTCACGACCAAGGGGACACCACATCAATAGGCGCGGAGGGCGAAAGTGCCCATGTATTTTAATGCTCGCCACGCTTGAGCAACCCATGTGACGAAATTGCATAGAAGAGCCATATATACTCAGCGACAATAATTAGCATGAAATAGGTTAAATACACATGTTGTAAACTGAGTGAAAGTCCATAGATTTGTCATTACCATAAAGCGGCGCTGTGAAAATATTTCTTTCAAGTGGTTTCCTTCGTCTGGTAAAGAACTTAATATTACATTATTTGTCACCCTTATTTGTTAATTGTCAAGCTTTCTTATTAAAAATATGAGAAGGGCCGCAGAAGATTTTACATGCCTCTGCGCAATATTAGGCCACAACTTCTTATACTATAACACTTTCAGATATACACATCATCACACTCTTCTGTAAGCAATTTCAGTTATGACAGAATAGTGAATAAAACTGTCTTAAAATAACAGCTGATTACCATAATGTATAATGGGAATTGTGAGCCCAGCTTCTCGTTGGGGTTCCGCCAACTCTGTTTGAAGCCTGTTATGCTACATATGTAACCGATGTAATGTTGGTCACATACTGTCATGCATGCTGCCAGCGCCCGGGTGCTCAGCACACTACTCTGTGAATTGCAGGCGTCGCGAACCAAACAGACCGTTACTACAAGTGAAAACCAGCCGCAGTGCACGTGCCATCTCTGCATTCACTCGAGCTCCAACCGTGGGGCCACCACGCGTGACGGAGGACGAAAATGAGGTTAGAGGCCAGTGGCTTGTGATTTGGACATACTCCACGTTATCTCTATTTTCGTCCTCCTTCACTCTATCGGTTACGCTGATTCCAGACAATAGAGACACTGCTCAATGCAGGAATGAACTGCTGAGATCTGGCTCTATATAATGAAATTTTGGAGTTGTCATTCCTTTTAAATGCGGAGAATTTCTTAGTCGCACGATGTCGTGCTTCGGCGTCGGTGGTGGCACCGTCCACAACCCGCCGGAGCATGATCGCGTTTGGTGTCCGGCCAGCAAGACGCCCGCAAAACTGTCGCTCTCCTCTCCCTTTCTCACCTCGAAAGGCCGACACAGGCAGAGTCACCAAATAAAAAAGACGAATAAAGCAAAAAAGACGATCAAAAAAAAAAAGGCGCTGCACAACCACTCACTGGCCACCCCGTATAAGTAGGGACTGGATCGCGGGTTAGGCATTCAGTAAAAGGCGTCTTTACTTGGATTTTGCTTGACGTTGAAGACAACGCTTCTCCTTCATTCAATAGATAAGAATAATAAAAACGAAATGACAATTAAGCAATCCCAAACCATACTCACGTACGCAACATTCACGCGATACCCCCAACACTCTGTGACGCATTTGCTCGAGTTTCCCATTTGTGAAAATGCGGGCGGCAGTTCTTATACTTGCTGTCATTTAGAAGGGACACATTATTCTTCAGTAGCCATGCATAAGCATTAGAAAAAAAAATGCACGCCTCTCCCTGAAGTGAATGACCACGAATAAGTGAAGCTAGGTCATAAGGCTCATAGTATCTACGCTGAACTCGCCGACTAGTATGAAGAGTTTGTGCTCGTATGCGTTTGATATTGTTCTGTCACAATTATGATTGATATTAGTGTGTTGTTGAACCTTTTTTGTGGGTGTTTCAAGCATGTTCCCCAAGAGTTGCTCGATATAATGTATATTAAGTGACCTAAAGTGACATAAAGGCTCGACGACAAAGCTTGGTACTATGGTTTGGAACTACGTTTAGGTCATCGACTAGTTTAAAGAGTTTTCACTGGCACGTGTTTTATATGGGCCCTTTACAAATATTTGTTTTTAATCTATTGGAAATCCTTTTTCTTCGTTAATATGCGCGCATCGTTAATATGCACGCAACTAACCACAATGACAACCAGCAGTCTGCTTCGACAACAATGCTTGGTCCTAAAATTTATTATGTATACGCTGAAGTCACCAACTATTATAGGTGGTTTGTGCTTCAAGGTACCTTATATTGTTTTTTCATATTGATGATTGATATTAGTGTATTGTTAACATTTCTTGTGTCTAACACCCACGAGTCTCCCCGCGACGGATGCTGGCGACAACAAGGCTAAGCCCTGAGTAGATTCGCCCCTGAGAATGATCATAGCACTCAAACAACAACCACGTTCAATAACTGCAGCTTCGGCTGCTGCATCTGCAAACTTCTATAAGAAAACTTAAAATTTGAAGCCCCCACTGTGTAAGCTGTAAAGTATTTCCAGGCCCCCAATTACGGGCATTTTCTTTCCCCTTTGACCAGAGCAGCCGCCCAAGTACGTGAGCATGATTTTTCTGCCACCCCCCACAAAACGGTTAAAGTGAGGCTCTCTACTTGAGTCTGTTGTATCGTCCGACAATTTTTAGCGCGGGGCGCCACCGACCGGCTTATGGCAGAACCAATGGCCACGTTGCGCAGCACGATTCATCGCATGATTTTGTACATGCGGTGCAGCTCTATACCACTTCGTAGGTATTTCGCAGAACGACGTCCAATTACCGCTTCCGGCGTCGCTTTCGCCATCTTAATGGCCGGCGTGAGGCAGTTTATCACGACTTGTTCGCTTCGCTACGCTGCCTGTGCGTGTAGTCGCTGTGGCGGCCGGAACGTATAAGGGCTGAAATAAAATTTCACAAAGCAAGCGTGGCGCAGAGCGGGGGTAGAGAGAGTGGAGACTAGGAACTGGGGGCTCCAATATTAGTGCCTCACCCACCCTTTGCTTCACAGCGATCCTATGTCCTTACAGTCTATGGTCACGCGCTGCACGCGAACGCTCAGTTTCGGGCACTACATATTCGCGAAATTCCTGTCCCAGTTTTCTCGTTTACGCAGACAATGACCCAGAACTTTGGAGTGTTGAGAGAGTTCAAGGTTTTAGGCGTTGAGTTCAGCGGCAGATACGAGCACGTCCGGCTAAGGGCTTGCGCTCGGAAAAAGCCATCCGACGACGCATCTGCTTTCAGCATGTCGGTCCGTGTACTACAGCGCGAAGGGAATGTCGTGGCCTGTAAACAGCCACGTCACGACGAGAACCCCTAATCGGACACCATTATACAATGTTGGTGTTTGGTTCAGTGTGGTACAGCCTTTCTATGCAGTGCCTTCGACTCTCCTCAAATTCATGTTGGGTACGAAGTGTGTGGCAACAGCAGCAGTGGAGTTTCGTTTCTATGGAACCCCTGATGTTTCAAAGCTCTGAATAATGTCGAAAGTGCTCCTTTTATGCTTCACTGCGTACAGGAACCAGCACATGACCCAATACCTTACTCTCCACAGGCTTTTGTTACCTGTGCCACGCGTATTTCAAAATCATCACGGCAGGTTGAAACGCAATTTCAACGGAACGCACTGCATGTGAAAGGCAACCTGTGCTGCTTCTCTGTAGGCTGTTTCCTCAGCGCTGCAGCCTCTGCTGACTATGCAGCACCGAGGAACCCGTGCACAATACATTGCTCATTATCGAACGCTATATGCTCAGAAATGACATCAACCACGTTTGAAATAACTGCAAGCAAAACTTCGACTCAGACACTGTCCACCAAAAGAAAAACAATCAGTAATATTTCACACCACACGACTGCCTGACATCTTCATTGTTCTCAGTCAGCTTAGGATCAGGGGAGTAGGAGTGATAAACAACAAGAGGGAAGGCAGGGAGGTTAACCAGGCACATGCCCGGTATGCTACCCTACGCTGGGGGAATGGGAAGGGGGCATAGGATCAGAATGAAGTAATAAACTGGGACAACTTTCAGGCCATACGTGTCAAGGAGACGCCAGGAAAGAAATTTTTCTGGACTTACCTTCTGTTATCGACGCTGACATCATCATCCAGGGTTAATTTTAATATGTTTATGATTGATACAAAACATCATTGTTTCCTTGTCAAGTTTTGAGGTACACCAATCACAACTACGCATGAAAATCCTCAATCTAATCTGTATACCCCGTTCGCTGCTAGAACGCACTGGAAAACTTCATTCCTTTGTAGACAGTCGAAGGTATTTTAAACCCCTCAGCTTGTCCTACCACTTATCTAAAAATCTTCTTTGTTCACACTTCACATGCGGCTAGAATGATATCCAAACGATTCAGTGCACCACTCCAGCCATGCATCGTTCAAGGCATTCATTGGCACCATTAGTGACCAGATGCGCATACTGTGTAATAGACCATACAAGAAGCGTATCTGGTCACTAACCGGCAATTAAAGTCATCAATAAATAAAGTAAAAATTACGCTGCTTCCATAAAATATCCCAAAGAAAGATGTTCATGTTCTTGTCCACAACGTCTTGTAATTCTATTGCGGATCTTGGCATTAGTACCGAGCAATTTGAACAAGCCGAAAGGCATCGAATCCACTTCTCCTACGTTTATGACAATAAACAGGTAATGACTTCGTGCAATTCAAAATACCATAAATGTCAACTGGTATTCGCATGCGAACTGATGGAATATGGTGTCATTGATTTTCACGGTGACAATCCACCCCCACCCCCCCTACCATACATCTGCAACGCAGCCCAATTCAAGCACCTGCTTCTATCAGACTGCGATGCGTATTACAACACATACTTTAAACTAACAAGTCAAACTACAAGAATTGTTCTTTGATGCTACAGAAAATTTGGCAATAATACAAACTTGTAAAATAGAAAAACTGACGGTAATAAATATTTGTAGTGATGATTAATGGTCGTCAAAGAAGGATAGCCTCTGAAGGAAGTGTGCCTAGTGGAAAAGTTGCCGTTAACACAAGACCGTCCTTGTTCTGCCACTAGCCCTCACTCAGGTAGAGTTTTACAATCTTTTAAGTATATACATATGAGGCCTACCAAAAGTACATCCCCAAATATGTTGGCTGTATACATTTGTAGTACCAGGTTTGAAATGATACTCTTATTGTGAATTGTTACATACTTCTATCCATGGTAAGCAAGCAAGTAGGCAATCAAATTCGTTATTAATTTTACCTGTATAACTCGTTATTCCAATGCTACATTGCGGCGCATTAGCATTCATTATTTGACAGGATGATACGTTACACCAGAATATTTATGCATGTCACGTACTTGCGATGAAGCTGCCAGAGAACCTTCAAAGCAACTTCTATTCTGTTTCATAATATATCAGATTTCAATTTGCTTGAGATGCTGAAACGTTCAAGTGGTTTAATTCAATTGTATGCTGATTTCACTGAGGGGACATTTTCTAGAGCTCATGTGTACCATTCTTTCTGGGTATGGGCATGACAAAAATAAAGTAGTTGCTTATGAATAAAAAGTAAATTAAAACAAGATGGCAAGGCTGAGACCTTTCAATAAATATAAAACATTCAGTGCTGCGGTCTCCATAAGCGCCTTCTACCGGCCAGTTGCAAAATACTACGTGTTACGAACTCGCCCCAGTTCCTCGGGAGGAAAATAACAGCCTGAAATTATTTCGTTCCTCTGCCATGAACTGCAGGGTAGAAGTCTAATAATAGTACACAAGCAACGTGATGTTCATCAGAATAATGCGTTTCACGTGTTTCGACAACACATGTTTCATTTTCATGTTGAAACACTCTCCCTATGACTAATTCATATTAAATCATTGAATGTCGGTTATATTCAAAGAACTGTTCTATATCGAATACCCTCAGCCTACTATGAATTCTCCGCTCCTAAGCGTTCATGACATCCTTCTCATAATTTAAACACTAGTAGTGCTTTCGAATGGTAATGTTTGATGTCAACTAAAAATCAGTGTTATTGATATTCGAAGTTCTTCCCCAAAAACTGTAATTGCAGTGCACTAGCGATATACTTGTGACTCATTGGTAAACAGCCTAGTTGTCAATTTCCTAAAGAAATGCACCACACCCCTTCAATGCATTGAAATGCAGCTGCAATTGTAACTAGCTATGCAATAAAAAAACAACATAATTGGAACAAAAGAGCACTAACCCTGCAATTTCACCAGCGTGATTACTTCGTTTGCAAAAATTTCTTCACTGAGCCATATGTTTTATACGGAGACTCATTGTTTACGCCTAGTCAAAGAGAAGAGATATACTGTTTGCACGTCGCATACTAATGATAATCATGCTACCGTAATGTTCCTGCAGATGGTGCAGTTGTGATTCCGTGCGTGGTGTCGGTCCTCCATGCCCAGATGTTGAAGCAACAAAGGCGCAAAGAAACAAGTCAAGAGTGCCCGCAATCATTGCGGCGGAAATCCTTCAAGGACGTGCAGAGGTTACAACGTCCGTTTCCTGGCACAAACGGACGTCAGTAAAGCACGCGAAATCAAACGCTAAGAAAACGGCGCCCGAAGAACATCAGCACTGGCGATACAAAAAGAAAAAAATAAGAACAAGAAACATGAAAACAAAACATAGTAAACCTAAGCCTCACCATAGGTCGTTTGTTTCGGAGACCTTCGAGGCAGCAGTTGCCGATCATTTCTTCTTTCGCCGTAAAGCACAGCTGAACTCGGCGGCGAGTCTCGCCTCACGCGGGTAGCACACAAGTATAGCAGCAGATGCGCCAGCGAACAGCAGCACGGGCGGCAGCGGGGACGGCACCAACACAGCAGCGGTCCTTCCGACCTTCGCACCACATTAGCCGGAAAAATGTTTGTCCATTAGAGACAGCGTTTCCTCCTTTAAACGATTCCCTTTATCTGCCTCCTCCTCGTCTCTTTACCGTCGGAGGCGCTACGAGACGTCCAATGCTGCGTCATGCACCGGCGCCAGGAGTCGGCAACCACCGGTCGGCCAGCTCGGAAGACCAGCCGGGAAAGATTCTTTCAGCTTAAAACGCTAGGAATTCACCACCGAATGCGCCGCCCGGCGATGCCTGGTCAAGCTCCGCCGGAAAATGAGCGAGCGCCCATGTAGGAGAGGAGGGCCGGGACGAAGAGCGGGAGCCGATGCAACGGACCCGGCGGCGGTAACAGCTAGGTGTTTCCCCAAATCACTGCAACCGAATTGACGCTCGGCTCTCCTACCCGCGCACGTCCGCGTCTTCTGCACTTGCTCTCGTTTCAGCATAAACCGGATGCGCTGCTCTTGGGTCACGGATCCGCGCGCGCGTCGCACCGTTTCTGTCCTGCCTGTCCCCGACCCGATGCCGGCGCCTCCGTCTATCCTTTCTGTGATTACACGACGCTGCGCTGCCGCGTCACCTGCGGACGTGGCAACGCTGTCGTCCTCCGGGGGTGGGCCTGTTACGCAAGGCCGCTACAGGCAGCCGCAACACTGGCTGTCTTGGTGGGCACTCGCATTCGGTACACGTCAGCGCTGCAATATGATATTGAGCCCGTCTGAAGAACAGGCACCAGCTAAAGGCATTTGCACTGTGGGAGTTAGCCGATGAGCTACCCCTGACATCTCTGTTTGTGCTTTCTCTTCCAGGCTCTCATAGGTTCTACGAAAGCGCGGATACAGCATATAGCTCGATGATCACGGCAAAGTCTCGGGGAAAGGACATCCCATCGAGCGGCGGGCCGACCCTCTTGGCGTTGAGAAACATTCTGCGTTTATTTTCCGTTTAAGATTGCTCACAAAACAAAAGGCTACCTGCTGCGGCTTCTTGTGAACGAGCGGCAACATTCCTCTTTGTTGTTGTTTTTTTTCTCACCTCTCGTTACGCCTTCCTCCTGCAAAACATATCGAGCGTGCTAAAAGAAGCTCGGAAGCGCCTTAAAATGACTTGTTTACTGGCAAAGCATTTACTAGCCTGGCGCCAACGATATACTCCCGGCTGTTTGTTGCGTGATGTTTTCATATCACTTTTCATTTTCTTTTCTAATGCAGCACGGCTATAGGGAGCGTGTGTGTGTGTGTGTGTGTGTGTGTGTGTGTGTGTGTGTGTGTGTGTGTGTGTGTTTGTGTGTGTGTTTGTGTGTGTGTGTGTGTGTGTGTGTGTGTGTGTGTGTGTGCGCTGGTCTTTAATAACTTCGGCTTTTGACTGCTCGCAAGCGCTTATTCTCAGACCACGACCACGCCATCAACCGGAACGAATGTATAAATTAGTCATAGAACTCTTCAAAGGAGTCACTTCAACGTAGGCGCCTCTGAAAAACTCATGTGGGTGGTATCATAGTTTGAACGTCTCAATGGGTAACTCAGTCTTGAAGTGCTATTACATAGAACAAACATTACATTACAACTCTTGAACAAAAGATGTCAAATTTGATAGCGACAAACTTGTGCATTTGGCTGCGCTATCGTGCACTGCAAATTACCTTTTGCATTGTTTGAGAGCCAGCACGGCATAAACGTCGCTTGCTTCAAGTGAGCATTTACAGGTACAGCCATAGGCAAGCTGGAGTACTGGGTGTCTTTCTGCCACACAACAATCGTCGTCTGCCTTGCTTCTGTTTGCTTCTGTTGATGGAGCAACACTGGTCGTCGTACTCGGCATAAGCGTGCGCAGAATTTCCCTTCAGGGGGTGAGGGGGAGGGTGGGTGACGTTACGTCGCAGCACCCCCCTCCCTATTAGGTCAATGTATGGGGCAGACTTTGCACCCCTCCCCCCTATGAGGTGACCAGGGGCGCTCACCACTGCCTTCCTCGTGTGCAGCACGCCTAAGGTTCTCGGCTGCTGACCCTAAACTCCCTGGTTCGCGCACCGGTTAGTCAAAATTTCTGAAGCCCTCTTTTACAGCGTGTTTCATAATCATATCGTCGTTTTGGGAAGTAGAGCCACAAATAATAATGTTATTGCCCCTTTTTCAAGAAGCATTCGAATTTGCACTGACAAAAAACGCAAGACCCTCGCCAGGTGTTTACGCTCAGCACCATTTTGAGTGGTTTGGTACGACTGGCTTAAGTGGTAATACTTTCTCATAAGAGTGCTGTACTACGCTGATAGCCGCACACCATGAGTGACGGGTGAATACCGGCCGCGCGGAGAGAACTCAAGCTCGCGAGTTCGACGACAATTATTGTTATGCGGCAGAATGACACCCCAAATTGGCCTTTTCATAGTTATGCTGTGTATGGCAGAATTGGATGCCGGATTTCATGGTCTCCCCGTCAAAAAATTCAATTCTTTCATAAAAAGTGGGAATCGAAGAACCAGTAGTAAACATCAAGCGCATGTCGGCGCTCGCCTCGGAGCTCGGCTCGCCAACGCCAGTAGCAAGGTAAGGCGCACTTATCGCCACGGCGTCGAATCATGTCACGTGCTATACGTGACCACAAAGTGATGCACTTCAATGGTCATGTATAGATGTGAAACTGGCCTAGAACCTCCAAACACCACGTTGTCTCAGAGTTTTTGGCGGTGCATCAAAGCGACCACAAGACAATTAACCATCACTTGGGTGACAAAATAGGAGACAGAAAGAAAATTTCAAACAGAGCAGATTCCGTATCTGTATTTATTTGGACAAACAATATAAGTGGCAATTAGATTATTACATAAGATGAGCCCAAGTGCATATTGCGTAATTACTAAATAGGGAGTAAAGTAACTCGGCAAGTTTACGTTATGCAAAGCATGTGGATAAAATGTGACTGTGTTGCAATTAGCGAAACCTTACGAAATGACGCTGAATATTTGTACAAATGTTGTACGCAAAGACATAGGTTAAAAAATCGCATATATCTTTTACAACCAGTTTTTTTTTAACAACCCACCATGAAGGTGTAGTGGCTAAGGCACTCGGCACTTGCAGGTCGCGGGATCGAAACCAGCTGCAGTGGCCCCAATTCTGATGGTGGTGAGAATGCTGGAGGCCCGTGTGCCTACATGTGGACTTCGTTAAACAACTCCAGGTAGTTGTACGTTCCCGAGTCCTTCACTACAGCATCTCTCATAATCATATGGTGTTTTTGGGATGCTGAACCCCAACCATTATAATTAGTTTTTCGCACTCGCTGAACGATGCCAACAGCAAAACGATTGTTAGCAACATGAGAAGCGCTAAGCTGATATGTAGTGCTTGGGCTAGCGAAGATGGTAGTTAGACGCTGCTTCATTTGTGAACATCAGTGAATGGCACTTAAATACAGTTGACGTTCACCCGACATGAAGGATGTATCATAGGGGTATGTAATGTTTCAAATATTATATTTTCAGCATTGCAACTGCATTTGACGTTTCACCAACAGTGCACCTGGTTAGCTTATTTTTTAAAAGTAGTATCCAGACATGGCGTAGCTCTGTAGTACAATTCTTGATGGCCACGCAGAATGCTTACTTATATTTCGGTTGGAGCCCGGATAATCATTCTTTGCATTTGTCGGGTCAACGCTGCTGATTTCAGCTTTTAACATTCTCGCACTAAAATTATAAATGTCTGTTTACGCCGCTATGGGTAGATACCTGCGGCGTGCACCCACATACCCACATACCTTTGGCATATACGCGCCCGTGGTATACGGGCATGTTCCAGAAGTGCCTAGCAGAAAGGTTTCGAATATGTACGCGACGAGATTATCGAAATATTTATGTCATGACCAGCAAGCCGTATTCTTCAAACCATCTTACCCTCCCTTGCTAACTTTAGTTAAACCCAGGTGAAGGGGGTGATGTGGATTGATTGATTCATTGATTGATTGATTGATTGATTGATTGATTGATTGATTGATTGATTGATTGATTGATTGATTGATTGATTGATTGATTGATTGATTGATTGATTGATTGATTGATTGATAGATAGATAGATAGATAGATAGATAGATAGATAGATAGATAGATAGATAGATAGATAGATAGATAGATAGATAGATAGATAGATAGATAGATAGATAGATAGATAGATAGATAGATAGATAGATAGATAGATAGATAGATAGATAGATAGATAGATAGATAGATAGATAGATAGATAGATAGATAGATAGATAGATATACTAAAACTGCCTGCAGTATGCAAAAGAATGCTTCGCATTTAAAAGCTCTACCAAATACCACAGGAGCTCCGCTTACCAGCCACATTTGCATGTGGAATGGCTTGTAAATTTTTGTCTTAGAATGTATCCTGGCGCACTTATGCAATATTTCTGCAGTTGCCTTTCTTATTCGGTGTAGCACGTGTGTTAAGCCTTCTTACTAGCAATAAGACTTTTCTCGTCATAGTCCTATGTTTGGTTTGCACAGATGGCAGCTTACCACCTGAACCATGCGTCCCATCACTTGAGTGCTCTTGATAATAATAAAATGCAGTAAGCATTCCTATTTTTCTTCTGTCTACGTAAAACTACTGAGTTTATAAGAGATGAGAGCAGGTCTAGTTGGTATAACTCACCGACTGGATACTTAACAAATTTATGCAAAAACAAATGGAGAAAGACACGAAGGAAAAAGACAGAACGCAGTGCCAGAGTAGCTTCTTAACGCTTCGTCTTTTCTGGTTCATTGACCTTGTTCATGATTTTTGCGCTAGCCTCAAGCTACTGAACCTACTTTAACTTACTTCATCCACATCATCCACATTACAAGAAGATTCAACTACTAATTCTACAAGACAAGTTGATTACACTACCGAGATGTAGAAAATATTATTACATGATTACATGTGGGCAGTTCATATATAGCTGAAGGTCACGCTGCGAGTTGCTCTGATGTACAAAGTTAACATGACTCATTGCACGTGACTGTGACCTCGTATACTGGGCGCACCGTGGGGCACGTGCTGGAGATGTGGAAAAACACAGCTCAGGAAAACACCCGTGGCACTCTTGTCGCAGTGGAGCCGGCTGCCACTGAAAATGGGAATGCAAAGATCACGTACAAATGAATACTTTCACCCATATTCACTGTGCTTTCACCATTTATGTCCTTCGCATTGGGTGGCAGTTAAAGACCCGAGCTGTTGTGTCGTGCGTCAGTGTCCATCCTGCCCAGCTGCTTCGAGAATAATCTGGGGTGTGACAACTGGCTGACTCATGCAATATGGAAGTGTCACTTCACCATCGAATCTTGCACAACGCCCGTACTTCTTGTTAAGAGTTCTGAGGAATGACTGCTTCATTTAGTAGGGAGTGTAATTTTACGATTCTTTTCAGATGAACTATGATTTCACCCTTTTGACTTAACAAGTAAAATGTTTTGCTTCTCTTGGTGCCAAAGCGACGAGTGGGACTGA